CTATGCTAATTTATATTCTAGCAAAAATTCAAGCAAAAAATTCAATTCTCAATAAAACACATTCCTTTAATTTTAAACATAAGTTAATAGATTTTCCAAACACCAATAATTATTCAAACTAATTATTCAACCTATGACAAATAGAATATGAATTTTCACAAAAATTATTTAACCTTTAAATAAGATGTTTAACAATATAAGTTCAACATTCCCATACGCAAAATTAGTCATCCCTTCTCCACAATTGAAATGCATACAATTGAAAAGATCAAAAGGTCTTTATTTAGGTTGTAATGAGGTATTAGGGATTTACTTTTTAGCTAAACAAAGAAAAAGGATAAAAGGGTAGACAAAAAGCACAAAAAAAAAAAAAGCATAATCTCAAGATTTTTATTACATCAAAACAATTTTTTTTTATTTGTAAAGGGAGATTAACTTGAAGTTCTTCGCTAGCTCAAAATTAGAGATACTTTGGCACGGTCTCTTCATAATACTTTGATAATTTTTTCCCTGTTTCAATTCCCCAAACTTGAATTCTTTGATTGATTGCTTCTTCTATTGGGTGTTTCTCTTTAAGTTTTCTAATTGGTCCACTAGCTAGTATTAATGAAATTTCTCCCTTTTTGTTGCTATGTTTTAATAAAAATCAAATCCTTCAATTATACATTATTGCACTTAGGGTAGGAAAAAATTCCTTCAATTATACATATTTGCACTTCAAATAGGGTAGGAATTTAAGTGTAATAATAATGGCTAACTTAATACGCGCGTGACCATTAAAATTTGGATATAGGCTTCAAAATTGGTTGCAAAAGTCATATTTTACTTAGTGGGCCAGGTCTAAGATAAGGGGATTCAACAAAGAATGCCTAAATTCAAAATAACTCTTGCAAATGTAAACATTTAAATTTGTCTCAAAGGAATTCTAATATGTTCTAAGCAATAATAAATTTGATTAAAAACACTATCTCTATATCATAAAATTCACAAAATTAGTGGTTTATAATCTTAGAAACAAATAGTTAAATCAAAGAATCATGTTAAGTCAAAAATAAATTAAAGCTCAAACAATACTAGACTAGAAAAAACAACTAAATTTATCACAAGTTACTAAATTATTGATATTTTTCAAAGCTTGCTCACAATTATCCAACTATATTAAGCTAAATAAAAACAAACAAACTCTCAAAATAAAAAAAAAAACAAACAAAATAAAAAAAATAAAATTTTAACTAAAATTTTCCTTCCTCCAACTTAATCTAGCACATTGTCCCCAATGTGTGCAAAAATAAGACTAATGCCCCAAACTTATCATATATTATCAAAACAATGTATAAAAAATAAAATAAAGTCGAGAACACCTTATCACCATTGTATTGAAAAATACAATAAAAGACAAGGAAATATAGGGCAAGGTTCCAATGGCTAAATTCTGAAAGTGGAAAAGAATAACATAACACAATAATAATAATAATATAGACATAATTGTTAGAAAAAAAAACATTGAAACAAAAATAATAAAAAAAATGGAAAGGAAAATTCCAATTAAAAGTAATTTTAAAAATTTAAAAATAAAAAATAAAAAAAAGAAGAAAGAAGAAAAAAAAAAGATTGATTACGTCAAATAAAAGAGAAGGAAGAAAAAAAAGAAAAAAAAAAGAAAAAGAAAAAAAATAAAACAACAACAAAAAAAAAAAAAGAACTTACTCAAAATAAAAGAGAAGAAGAAAAAAAAAGAACTTACGTCAAAATAAAAGAGAGAAGAAAAAAAATAATAAAAAAAAATAAAAAATAAAACATTGATGTGGGCACGTGGTCTAAGGCATAAAAGGACAAAAAAAATTCAAAAAAAAAAAAAATCTGCAGCATGGCCAAGAGGTGCTGTGTAGCATGGTCGGGGGTGCTAGAGTCTGACTATGGGTATATTTTTCTTTGGAGACAGCATGGAAGTGCTGGGTAGCACGCCCTGCCTGTGCTAGAGCTTGGCTTTGGCACTTTTAATCAGTTTTTAAGCCTCTTTAATCCTTTCTTGACCTATAATATGAGTATAAAACACCAAAATAAAAGGAAATAATGGTTTAAAGATGAGAAAACAAAATGAAAAACATAAATAATAATAAAATAAAATAAAATTGCAAAGGAAAAGAAAGAAAATGATGGGTTGCCTCCCATTAGCGTTTTATTTAATGTCTTTAGACTCGACTTTTGAGAAGTTTATCAAATAACTACTTTCGCCGATAGTATGTGTCATGTAATATCACACATGGGTCTTGATTGAAAATGCCTTCAAGATTGGCTAGTTTAGGAAATTTATGCTCGTCTTATTAACAACATCTCGCTTTGAATGATGAACTTGTGGAAAAATTGTACTAAATCATGGAGAACACAATTTATTAAAGATGGTATCAATGGAAAGAAAGGATCTTCCAGTGGTGTATGTATAAAAACCATTGATGGGCTTAAATCAATAGTCTCAATTATTTCTTCATCCACCAATATTGCTTGCTGCTTGTGTTCATTTAAAATCTCACCCAATACCCCTTATAGCTGTACCTCACATTTTTCATGGTCATTAATAATCATGTCTGGAAATAAGAAAGTGAGATTTAATCCATCTTCAAAGGAGTTGCATTCTTCACATGTAGGTTTTACTTCTTCTAAAAGTGCAATTTCCCATGAAGTTTCCTCATAATTTACCTTGCACTCATCATCTTGATATCCATTAGTTGCCATAGTTATCAATTTCGCTGGTTGTACCTCTAAATTCTTTATTGCTGCTTGTTAGATCTTAAAACTCTCGCGAGTTTTATTCATAAATTCTATGTGAGATTTAGTAAGGGCAGCAATCAAATCCTCTAAATTCTTTTGCTTCTTCTTCATATTCAAAATTTGGAGAGTATGTTTGCTTCTTCTTTTCATATTTCAAAATTTGGAGTAGTATTTTGGTGATTTCCAAACTTGCAGTGAAGGATCCCAAGTGCCAACGTTTTCAAATCAGATCAGTATCATTTAACATGTAAAGTTACCAGTGAATACTGGGTTGCCAAAATCCATTATCTATCCAACGTTTCTTAGTTTTCTTCATTTTAATCCACAAAGTATAGAATATTGTAAATGAGATATTTTAATAAAATTATGATAAGGAAATCTCTTCAAAACAATTCATTTAAATCGCGTTGGGCTTCAAGCGGCCTCCCAAAGCGGCATAAAATGGCTCTGAATGTTGTTGAATAAAACTTTCGACTACTTGCTTATGAAACATCTCAAAATACTTTGCAAGAAAATAATGAAAAAAAAAAACAACAAATAATGTAAACAAATATTTCAATTAACCTAAAAAAAAGTCTAAATTTATAATAGGTTAATTAGTATTGATATTGGTAACGCCAATCCCAGGCAACGTCGCCTAAAACTTGACAGTTATTTTTCGCAAGTATACGAAATCGTAGCAAGTAATATAAGTAATATAAAGTAAGTAGAGTATCGTCTCTTCAGGGATTGTTTATCAAGTACCAAAATTGTGTTAACCTATTATTATTTAAACGGCGATAAGAGAGATCTATCGTAAGAAAAGTAAATTCTTAAAATAAAACAGAAATAAATCAAGCAACAATATTCAAATGAAAGGAAATCAAGGATTTTAAAATTACTATGGATTTTGATTTCACTTAACTCTATCCAATTTGTTTTATTAGTTTGTTAATCAATTTTAATTGTTCAAGTAGGGGAAATAGCCCTAAAATCACTAACAAGCTCTCCCGATGTATTGTTAGCTATTCTAACCTGGTCTAATTACCTATCTTCCAATAGCGCAATCAAACATGAATTAAATCATTAAGTTTTGGAATTAAATCATTAAGTTTTGTGTTTGTTTTTGGTGAATCATTAACCTAATTATAAACTAAAATCTATCCTCTATCATATTCATACAGTTCGCATTCAAGTATTATTCTCATGTAAAATTTTATTACTCTATCTTATATCAAAACCCTTCTCCGAACTATGTGGTTAATTGAAATATATCAATCAAGGTGGAGAAACCCTGCCTGGAAGCGATTAAGTGCAATAATAAATTTATACTTTGAAACAAACACAAAAAAACATATCTTATATTTATAAATTCCAAAAATAATTTAAGCTATATCCAAACTCCTAATAAATAATAATATAAACTGTTAGGATTTAGTTCGACATTAGTAATTAAATTAAAACTCAATTAATACTGTAAATAAGAACAAATAAGAAATACTCACACACACCAAGTAAAACAATAAGATTATATAAATAACAAACCAGCGATTTTTATAACGCAGTCCAAACAGATACAAGTGAACGACGTGTCTCTGTGATCGTTAAACACAAAATCTGAGTGCTTGAAGTCTTTTGGAGGGAGAGAACTACTGTTAAAAAACCAAGAAGAACAAGATATGAAATATACAATGAATTGGTTTTTTTTACTTATAACCCTAGTCACTTTCTAATTTATATAGACTTTCTGGGGACTCAATAATACTTGAATAAAATTTCATAATTAATATGAATAATGAAAAGTAAAACAAGATTAAGAGTTTAGAAATAAAAACTAGGCAACAGATACGTGGACGACGTCCTTGAATCTTGACACAAATCTTGAGTGCTTGAAGTCTTTGAGAGGGAGAGAACTATGTTAAAAAAAGAGAACAAGAGATGAAATATACAATGAATGGTTTTTTTTTTTTTACTATAACTAGTCTTTCTATTTATATAGACTTTCTAGAATATCTTCGTATTCGTTTAAGAAAGTGAATCTTTATTGAGTAAAAAATCTTTTACGGATAGAAAACTGTTTAGACTTTATATATTCCCAATTAGGACTCTATCAGTGCCTAGATAGGAAATAAGCAAGTTTCCTATAAAGATCGAGTGAAATATGATTTAAGGAAACTTTATACAAAAATATAAATAAAACTGAATAAAAACTAATTAAAATAATTAAAAAATACCAAAAATCCTAATAAAACTATATTAAAAATACTTTTAAAATACCAACTATCACCAATAAGATTCACTGTTAAACTACACGGACTAGTATCCAATTACATCAACCAAATCACACACCCATAACAAATTTAAGACAGAAGCAATCAATCCAAAAAAAGAGAAAAAAAGAACTGACCTTGATAAGAATTTTTAAAAACAAGAAGGCAATCTCTCCTCCTGTGGTCCCGCTAACAGTGTCAAAGGGCATAAAACCCTACCCATCTTTAATAAAAAAAACATATCGTGTATAATCTGTAGCCCATTTAAATATCTATGGATTAATTAAGATGAGCGAGGCGAGAAAGGAACAACTTCGAACCCCTCTTACCGATTCTAGCATTTCTTCCTTTTTCTTTCAGTTGCTTAGCGAATCAGCGAAAGCAGTGAGTTAACTCGGCGTAAGGGAATTAAGGATGGGATTAACGTATGGCTGTCCTCTCGCTCTCAGAAGTCCAGCTCTCTCCCTCTATACCCAGCCAAAACATCGACAGTCATAGTATAAAGTATAAACAAAAGAAGTTTCTTCGAAGCCAGTAATCAAGTAATCAAGAAAAAAAGAAGGAAAAAAATAGCGCCGCGAAATGGAGCAGGCTGTGGCGGTCGCCGGTTGGTGTCCGTAAGAGGAGTTGCGTTGGATTTTTGTCGTTTTGAGTTATATATAAAGCAGGAGAGAGGACTTGGGTTAACGTTGACCTGAACCAAGCATAGTTAAGGGTCCCGCAATTATTAGAGTATTTGTTAAAACTGACCTGAACCAATTCCCTTTACAAATTCATTTCAAAGTAAAATTGGATAAGAAGTTTAGAATATAATTACAACAATTGGCAAAACTTGAATATTTGTGCTTGTCAAGCCTTCAAAGAGCAATTTAGACTAACAATTGTTGATGAACTTGCCCCCGATCTCGGAGGGGATCTTGAAGGTGAGGACAAGTATGGTTTTGGGGGAATTGACAATGACTCAGCGTTACCCTGCAACATTTCTATTACTCTGCTCATCGGAGGCCGTTTTGAGGGATCAGATTGTAGGCACCACAAGCTCACCAACACCATTTTTCTTGCTATTTGGTTGTCTTCTTCATTACCGATTCCATGAAGCCCAAGTTCTTGGCCTAGTTCGAGACGCTTGAATATCCAATGAGGAAAATATATATCACTACTATTATCAGCTAGAACACACGGATTCCTTCTTCCTCCGACCATTTCAAACAGTAACATTCCATAACTGTAAACATCAGACTTATGAGAAACACCTCCAAAATTTCTACAAAATACTTCAGGTGCAATGTACCCTGCAGTTCCTCTGGCACCCAACATTGATACAAAACTCTCTTTTCTAAGGCATATTTTAGCTAAACCAAAATCTGAGATTTTAGGACACAAATCTACATCCAGAAGAATGTTATGAGGTTTTAAGTCGAAATGTAAAATCCTTGTCTTACATCCTCGGTGCAAGTACTCCAGTCCTCGCGCAATACCAACTGCAATTTGTTGTAATGTTTCCCAACCTAATTGGCGAGCAGCAGCATTCGGAGGATTTTCTATGTACTTATCAAGTGATCCATTAGACATGAACTCGTAGACAAGTGCTCTTTTAGAACCCTCGAAACAAAATCCTAAAAGGGTAACAATGTTGACGTGAGAAGTTCTACTGATGCTTGCAACTTCACTGATAAATTCTTCTCCGTTACTCTTTTGATTCCTTTAAGACTTTTACAGCCACAAGATTACCATCAGTTAATTTACCTTTGAACACACTGCCATAACCTCCCTGGCCTAGTTTATCTTTGAAAGAGCCTGTGATTTTCTTGATTTCTATATATTTGTATCTTTTTGGTGCCATCGATCCATGTTCGCTAAGAAGGCCTCAATACTTTGATGGTCTTGTTTGTTTTTCTTCCAACAGAAAATGGAGGTATCGCATAAGAAGAAAATTCCGAGCATTCTTCTTCCGAGCATCAAAATTATTAGGACGATAATGATTCCGATGCCTGGAAAAGAGATAATGGAATTTAAACTTAAAATATATCTATGGAAGAAACTGATAGGATGAAGGTTGAGAAAGAAACCTATATCTAGAAGAAAAGAGAAATTGAGATGTGATCAAGGAAGTACAATACCTACTCCTAGCTTGATTCCCAACGCTGAAACAAAAATTGAAAATATTGCATTAGTTTTAGAAATCTAAATCAAACAGATCTTCTTTATTGAATACAAATAGAAATAAGTAAACTCATCAACCACAGGGTATATGATATAATTGCAGGGAATGATTTATAGCTTTTTGTGTGTGAAGGAATATGCCTGCTTTTACCATTTTGCTTTTTTCTGTGCTTTTTTCTAAGACAGTATTGGAATTCTGCATTATCCTTGCGTATACACTTGCCTCCGTTTAATAGACACGATTAACATTCGAGGTCGGTTACTTGCAGAGAGAAGTTAGCAGTGAACATTGTGAATATATTGTGATCATCAGTATTTTCGGTGTTCCATGGAAGCCACCCAATTGAACAATGAAGAGGAGGAGAAGGAGGAGGACGACTTGGAAATAAACTTGCAGTAACATTTTTAGGGTAGAAGATACTGTAGTCGGAGCAATTTTTATGATCAAAATCAGAATTTAGAGAAGGTACAGAGTGCTTGCATTTGTATAAGGTTGCTAGATTTGAAATAATTTGAAAATGAGCTGAATGAATCTCGGGAAGACTCCAATCAAAGGATTCACAGTTCCTGGAATTCAAATTCCCCCTTAGCTCTTCGTCAATGACAGAAATATTAGTTATGAAATCAGTCTGGGAGACTCTTTGGATTTCATACCATTTTTCTGAATACCTGCACAATCGATTCTTCGGAGTTTCTTTACTGCAGTCATCAACGATAAATGGACCGCAAAACTCAGGACTTGTTCTGTTGGTGAAAGGGAATATAAGTTTTCCCAAGCTTCCGCAGGAAATTGCAGGGCAATCTTCGTCAGGTAAAGAAAAAACAGGGTGAAAAATTGTGAATAAGAGAACGATAAAAGAAAGAGCGGCCATCCCCAGAACCCAATTACAAATAAGAAACAGCGCTACCAGCAATAAGGTCTGTAATTCTCCTTTCCGTTGTTATTTCATCTTTTTAACAATATCTATCAAAATCTTTATCTGCTAAACACGTCAGTTGACTTGGAAATTTGGCAAAGAAGACTTGCAGGAAAAAGAAAAGAGTGGACTATAAAGAAGAAATTTTAACTTTAAAATGTTTTTGATTGATTCGACCAAAATAAAATTTCTGCCTTTCTTTTCATTGTTTGTGTTTTTCTCTTTGACCAGAAGAATCAGAAAGACTATATGTAGCTTCCTGCACAATTTCCTTGGCCGAACATATAAAAGTGCCTTTCAACAAAAGTCTTGTGACTTCTTATATTTTAGAAATAACTTTGTGACCTCTAAATTTATAAAATTATTAACATTATACCCTCGTAAATTTCTGAAACATACCTCTGTGTTTTCTTCGCTTGGTTGTTCTTATTAAATTTCCTTTTGCATCTACGCATTGGAACTTTTTTTTGCTGTTGCCTAGGCATTTACCTCCATATAGTTGGCACCAATAACATTCTAGCCAAAAGTACACTTCTAGAGAGAAATTGGCAGTCAACAGATGAAAAACGTCATCATAATTTTGATTTACATTGAAGGGTAGCTGAAGAATTGAACAATTAGGTGGAGGACTTGGCAGAGCACTTCTGTTCATGTAATTATAGCAGATGGTGAAGTTCTTGCACTCTGTATAACTAAAATCAAAATGAGTAAAATTGGCAGGATGGTTGCATTTGAAGAGGGTTAGATTAGGCCTAATTCGAAAAGGGGCATATGTTAAAATAGGAACACTAAGAGGGTTAGATTAGGCCTAATTCGAAAAGGGGCATATGTTAAAATAGGAACACTCAAATTGTTGAAGGACTGACACTGTCTGTTATCAATCTGCCGTTGTAACTCTGTGTCGGTTATAGAAATGGTATTAGACTGTGAGATACTTTCAACTTCATACCATTTTCCTTTTCCCCTCTCTAGTTTGATCTTTTGAACTTTTTCGCTGCAACCATCCAGTACAAAGGGACCGCAGCCTTCAAGGAGTGTTTTATTGGTGAAGGGAAGCCTGAGTTGGCCAAGCTTTCCACAGTCAATTGGAGGGCAGAATTTGTAGAAGTCTTGTATTTGTTCTGGGGAATAAGAAACAACAGAGTGAAAGAGAGAGAAGAAAGAAAGGAAAGAGATAACAGTAACATCCATTCCCAATAGGTCTCAGTGACTTCTGATTACTGGAGGTAAGATTAATTATATGGAGTATGGAGCACTTTATCCGCAGAACACGTCTTGACCTTGAAATTTTGACATAAAAGAAGACTTCGTCAATATGGAGTGAAAAAGCAGCAGCTTTGGCTATTTTTGGCAAAGTTACAGAGCTCTCCCATTTCCTACAAATTTCTTCCCACCCCATTTAGTAAGATTAAAGCCTCAAACTTTCTTATTAGAATTTTAAGGCAAGATTTAAACCTGAAACTTTTTTATTGAGAATTTATGCCTTTCTTGTTGGCTTATCTCCTTAGGTACTAAAAGTCACATTTTTTTTTTTCCAATAATTGACCGTGAATATAATTTACAGATGCTTTTTTACTGTTTACAAGCAGTAGAAAGACTTGAAAGACTTGACTGCCTTATGCTTCAAAATCTATTGATTACTGCTTCTTTTGCGGATCACATACATTTTCCAGGCAATAACACTAAAGAAACAAAGTGCTGCCGCCGTGGGAACACAACTTTAGTGTGCGTGTGGTCCATAAGCTTTGCTAAAGATTGGGATGTCCACTTATAGGGTAAAAATGGAATTGCATGTGAAGAATTGAAGAGGAAATGCAATAGGCATTGCCATAACATGATCAAAAGTACAACAGGAGACTGTTATTTTGAATTTTACTCCCATTTTCCAAGGAAAATAAGTAAGTTCAAGGTCTTGATTGTTCCATAAGTTGACAGACTTCTTTCTTGTTCTTTTGCTTCTGTCTTATGATTCCAGGTTTTAAATTGTATACAATTTGATGTAAGTTTTAAGTTCCTTATTTTAGTTTTAATGTTGAGCAAGATTCCGTCTGTTATAGAAAAATAAGACAAGGAAAGAGATAATGTGAAATTAATATTTTCAAAATCTGAACATTAGTATTTACATTCACCATAAAACTTCAAAGCTACCAATATTGTGAAGTATAAATCTATGTTTCTATGAGTTATAGCTATGCTTTTTCAATACTTAGTTATATCACCACTCCTTCCTTTGTTCTCCTCTCGACTTTCAATTCTCTTTAGTTCCTCCAATACCTCATCCATAGGAGGTCTCATTCTCTTATACTTGTTGGTAAGCACAAAAAAGGCCAATTCTGCAACAGGGAAGTTGTTCATTCTCTTGACTTCCTCGGTCTGACTGATACCCGAGGTCTGGGAGTCACATTCAACTCCATCAAATGCCACATCTTTGAATTTCTGTTTAATTCGCTTAAGTTTGCTTAAATTAATCTCTTGGCGATGCCTAGTGTATGTCGGACAGCATGGCAATTGATGATATAAGTTCAAACAAGGACAACACCGAAACGTTATAGACATCAACTCTTGTCAGTTAACTGGTAGCAAAGGTAGTTATTCAGCGGTGCGACATAGGCCAGCGAGTACCTTGAAGCGGGCACGTCGAGATATGAGAAAGTAAACATCGTTACGCCGATGGAAACAATCTGAAATCCCAAAATCAGCAACTTTGAACACAGAAATTGTTGTCAAGGGAAGAATGTTGTTGTCCTTAACATCTTCGATTTGACATGAACTCAGAAGCATGAATAAACAATTGCACTTGCTGTTTCAATGCGGCAATTCTCATCCTGATAGGCCGCAAGTGTGAGAGGACTAGAGCTTGGTTGATCACCGAATGAAGATGATCACAACTGTTGCCCATTAGAAATGTACTTCATAGACAAGGAGGAGTTCACGGCTAGCGGCGGGAAGAGCACCGTAAAGGCATACAAAGATTTTGATTTGGCGCAAACCGTACTGTCAAGATGGTTCTATTTCATTCAAAAATTGCTGAAACTTTTTTATAGTTACGCTCATATAGGCGTTTCACCGCAACTTTCCCGCCCATCACAAGTTTTTTGCTTGGCAGCGAGATGATCAGAAGAATGGAGATTGATCAAAGAATTAAATTACTACTAGTTGATTCAATAAATAGCTATGCAATTTTTTGGTTAAATGAAGTCAAGATATTTGTTTCTTACCATAGTATACAGTTCCAAAGCCTCCATCTCCTAGTTCATTTTCTGGTGCAAACTTGTTGGTAGCTTCTTCAAGTTCAATGCAGGTGAAGATGGAGACACTAAAGTAGAGATTGCTACTTTCCAGGTCAGATTTTGAGAAGAGATGTGAAGAAGTGTTTTCTGGGAGTAAGTTTGAGGCAGTGTCTTTTCTATAGTACCGATACCAGAATAACAATACAAGCGCCGATAATATCAAAAGGGTAGCAGATCCAATACCTAAAAGAAAGTAGTTTTTACTGTCATTTAAACATACATCCATGGAAGTAACATATAAAATTATATATATAGTAAATGTTGAGAAATAAACATGTATCTAGAAGAAAGAGAAATTGAGATGTGCATCAGAGGATTACAATTACTGCTCCTTAGCTTGATTTCCCAACGCTGAAACAAAATTAAAATATTGCATTAGTTTTAGAAAACTAATCAAAACAGATCTTCTTTATTGAATACAATAGAAATAAGTAAAACTCATCGAATAAGGGCATATGACTATAAATTGCAGGAATGATTTATAGCTTTTTGTATTCTTGCTGTAAAGGAATGTGCCTGCTATTTACCATATGTGCTTTTTTCTTAAGACAGTAAGCTTGATTCCCAACGCTGAAACAAAAATTAAAAATATTGCATTAGTTTTAGAAAACTAAATCAAACAGATCTTCTTTATTGAATACAAATAGAAATAAGTAAACTCATCAACTACAGGGCATATGATATAATTGCAGGGAATGATTTATAGCTTTTTGTGTGTAAAGGAATGTGCCTGCTTTTACCATTGTGCTTTTTTCTAAGACAGTATTGGAATTCTGTATTATCCTTGCGTATACACTTGCCTCCTGTTGATAGACACCATTTACATTCGAGGTCGGTTACTTGAAGAGAGAAGTTAGCAGTGAACATTGTGAATATATTGTGATCATCAGTATTTTCGGTGTTCATTGGAAGCCGCCGAATTAAACAATTAGGAGGAGGATGACTTGGCAATAAACTTGCAGTAACATTTTTAGGGTAGATGATACTGTTGTCGGGGCAATTTTTATGATCAAAATCAGAACTTGGAGAAGGTACAGAGTGCTTGCATTTGTACAAGGTTGCTAGATTTGAAATAATTTCAACAGGAGGGAAAGGATTCGCAGTTACTGGAATTTCAGCAAAAGGAAACTTGGGAGGACTCCAATCAAAGGATTCACAGTTACTGGAATTCAAATTCCGCCTTAGCTCTTCGTCAATGACAGAAATATTAGTTATGAAATCAGTCTGGGAGACGCTTTGGATTTCATACCATTTTTCTGAATCCCTCCACAATTTAAACTTCGGAGTTTCTGTACCGCAGTCATCAACAATAAATGGACCGCAAAAATCAGGACTTGTTTTGTTGGTGAAAGGGAATATAAGTTTTCCCAGGCTTCCGCAGGAAATTGCAGGGCAATCTTCGTGACGGAAAGAAAAAACAGGGTGAAAAATTGTGAATAAGAGAACGATAAAAGAAAGAGCGGCCATTCCCAAAACCCAATTACAAATAAGAAACAGCGCCACCGGCAATAAGGTCTGTAATTCTCCTTTCCGTTGTTATTTCTTCTTTTTAACAATATATATCAAAATCTTCATCTTCTAAACACGTCAGTTGACTTGGAAATTTGGCAACGAAGACTTGCAGGAAAAAGAAAAGAGTGGACTATGAAGAAGAAATTTTAACATTAAAATGTTTTTGATTGGTTCAACCAAAATAAAATTTCTGCCTTTCTTTTCATTGTTTTTGTTTTTCTCTTTGACCAGAAGAATCAGAAAGACTATATGTAGCTTCCTGTGCAATTTCCTTGGGCGGAACATATAAATTGCTCCTCAATTTGCGAAAAAAAACGTATCGTGACCTTTTATATTTTAAAAAATGACTTTATCACCCTTTAAATTTATAAAACTATTAATATTATACCCTCGTAAATCTATTCGGTTTAAATTTCAATTCTCTCCCTGCTCAAGGATCTATAAAAATATTTCGAAATGACATTTTAAATCATTAAAAAATATCTTTTATTGCTAAATTAATTAATATATTTTAACGTTAAAATGTTTTTGATTGGTTCAACCAAAATAAAATTTCTGCCTTTCTTTTCATTGTTTTTGTTTTTCTCTTTGACCAGAAGAATCAGAAAGACTATATGTAGCTTCCTATGCAATTTCCTTGTGGGCTTTTCACTTCTGAGAAAAGCATCATGACGAGATGAAAACACATTGGAGTACTCTTGATAACTCGCAATGCATTTAACACGAAGTTGGAACTTTTGCTTTTACTGGTAAATGAATGGGTCCCACCCAACCCAAGCTGTTTGTAGAAGTCATTCTCTGGTTGATCATATAAACCACTATTTATGAAAAAATTTAGCTAGACCGGACCTAAAATGCCACTTATAAACTAACTAATAAAATTAACAATTATTTAAAAATCGTTCATATTTTATACTTTTCTTTCCATGTGTATGATTAGAAACATTCATTCTAATTATATACTTCAATTGTATTTCTTTATTATTTCAATTTCATGATTTAAAATTTAGAAAAAATATATGTATTTATATGGACACTGTTATATAGCTATGGCCTCCATTTTCTATATACACTCCCTTATACAATGACCTACTAATCCTTTAACTTAATTAAATTTCTCTCTATAAACAACAGAAGATAGAAAGCAAGATGAGAAACTAATTTCGATCTTATACAAATGTTAATCATCTCTGATATAGCCACCTTCAAAATTAAGCAGCACCAAAGAGGCACAAAAGCTTAACCACTAACACTAGGTGTATTCGAATTACAGCTAGGCCATTTAGCAGTTACAGTATCTGGTGAAGGAGGCAATCGAATATTCTTCAACAGAGATTCATCACCACTATCTGGTGGTGAAGATAATAGCAGAGTATTCCTCAATGCCTGATCATCATCATCATCATCATCTTTTACTTCCTCTCCAATGCTTTGAATTCTCCTTAGTTCCTCCAAAACCTCATCCATTGTTGGTCTCATTTCCTTGTCTAGTTGTAAACATCGAAATGCCAACTCCGCTACCGAAATAGTCATTCTTTTAACTTTTTCTTCTGAATTATACCCAAAAGATGCGTCAATCAACTCATCAAATGCACATTTTTGAATCTTGGTTACTGCTAAGTTAGCCAGATTAATCTCGTGTCGATGCCTACTTATATCAACAGCAGGCATTGATGATATTAGCTCAATCAACACAACTCCAAAGCTATAAACATCACTTTTATCAGTAAGCTGATAACATTGGTGATATTCAGGATCGACATAACCTGGTGTCCCTTGAGGAGCAGTTGAAACATGAGTAACATCGTTAGGAAACAACCTGGAAAGTCCAAAATCAGCAACTTTGACGCAGAAATTATTGTCAAGAAGAATGTTGTTGGTTTTGACATCTCGGTGTATGATATCGGAGGCATGAAGGTAGGATAAAGCAGTAGCTGTTTCTATTGCTATGCTCAGTCGAACAGGCCATGTCAGTGGACTTGACTTTGCTCTATCACCATGGAGATGATCTGCAACTGTACCGTTGGGAATGTATTCATATACAAGAAGAAGCTCACGACTGCGATGAGAAGTGCATCCATAAAGGGAAACAAGATTTTTGTGGCGAAGGCGTGTCAGGATTTCTATTTCATTCATGAACTGCTCTACCCTTCTGTAGTTATGCTCGTATAGCCGTTTTACTGCAACCTCTCGTCCATCTCGGAGCTTGCCTGGTTTAAACAGATCAAAAGTAAGCTCATTTAGCTAAGTAATCAAGTACTGGACTTTACCAATGAGTTTAACTCAGTAGTACTACACTCGTTTCCCAGACTAAGATGTCTCAAATTTGAACTCCATTCAGGGCCAAATTAACTAAAAAAGAACTAGACTTTTTATCTTCTTACCGTAATACACAGTTCCAAAACCTCCATCCCCGAGCTCTTTTTTACCATCAAAATTACAAGTGGCTTCTTCAAGTTCATTATAGGAAAAGAGGGGGACACCCAAGTAGATGCCCCCCAGTTCTACATCTGATTTTGAGGAGGGATCAGAAGTGGAATTTGTTGACAGTAAGTTTGAGGAAGCTTGTCTTCTTCTGCGGTAAACCCAAAAAATAAAAAGGAATGATATTATCACTGGGACTCCAATGCCTGCACTTGAAAAGGCAGAGTAAAATCAATTATTGTCAAAAAAATCTATAGCGCAGGTTAAGAAGAAACAAAAAGCAAAGAAAATTTTAGGTATTCACTTACCTAATCCTAATCCTAGCTTCAATCCCAATTTGTTATTTCCTGCAACAGAATGCAAAAAGAACTGCATTATAAATATAAAATCTTAACTCATGGCATTAACAGAGAAGAGTCAAAACCTGAGGATCCATTTAAACAAGTAGTGAAAACCAAAAGGCTCTCTTGAATGAGGTTGTGTGTATAATATATGTATGTTTTTTTCCATTCTCAGCATGCAAATTAAGAAATATGAGTATGCTTGATTCAATTTCTTTTAATTCCATTTTTTTGTACCTTCTTTTACTTTAGCACAATAAAAATGTTCCTCACGGTTAGTCTTGCATACTTCTCCTCTAGCATAACATCTCTGACAAGTTTTATGCACATGCACTTGAAGAAAGAAGTTCGCAGTTAGTAGTGTAAATATGTTACTTCGATTTCCATTCTGATTTCCAGGAAGCTGAATAAGTGAACACTGAGGTGGAACACTTGGCAGTGTTTGGTTTTGTCGAGGGTAGTAGATATGCGAGTTATTGCAGCCTGTAGTATATTCTAACTGATAAGGATGACCAAGCTTCTGTTCACATTTGAACAAGCTTAGGTTGTTCTTAATTTCAAAAGACACAAAAGGAAATCTAGGAAGACTCAGATTCTTGAAGGTTTCACAATTGTGAGAATGCAAAAGGTCTGCAAGCGCTTGATCATGAATAGAAATATCACCAGCCTGTGATATATCTGTAACTTCAAACCATTTTCCTCCATTTTCCAGCTGTATATTTTGGATATAACTATCACAACCATTTATCTTTAGCAAACCACAATTGGGAGGACCTGTGGTTTTACTAAAGGGGAACTTGATCTCACCAAGTTTACCACAAAAAAAAGGCGGGCAGTCTGGACGGTGCTTCATTTCTTCTTCTTCAGCAGAGTGAAGTGCTAAGTGGCATACAAAAAACAGTACTAATACAAAAAGACGAGCCATTTCAAATAAAAACCCAGAAAAAGTAATAGCAAAGCAAAGATTTTATTGTGTTCGTAAAAGCAGGGTGCGTATCTCCCTTAAGTATTAATGAATCTTCTCCCTTTAACAGTTAAACACGCCAGACTTTTGAAATTTTTAACAGAGAAGACTTGAAGAAATAGACTTACAGAAGAAGTTCAAAGTTTTGGCCATTATGCGGAGTTTACACCTCCAAATTGACCAGCACCACCTGTTAATGTTTCTAACCTTTTGACTCTTCAGAATTCCTAACATCTAACATAAAATATGATGACAAACCTAGAAAGAGGGAAGAGTAATCATAATTGTTGATAGTGCTATAACGCGTCTTTCTAAATATGAACAGAAACCTTTTTTTCCTTTTTTCTTGCATGGTCCATGAAAACTTTGGATGGTCTATAGTGGAGAAAACAGGTATGATATTAGTGCAAATTGGAGAAAAACAACATGTGATTCCTAAGAAATAATGCAATATATTTTGACGGGGTCACTGGGAAAGAATTTGTAAGTTGAGGTCATTTTCATTAATGTCTTATAATTCAAAATCTAGAGAAGAACATTAAAGGCTGATCTTAAAGGCTTCAATATAGAAATACACTATTTCTTCTAACATCCAAAAAATCAAACACAGAGCACAAATTAACACAAAAATGCCTTACCATCATTACAGTGTTTAGGATGGGATCCATCAGGACAATAACATACACTGTTTCCCTCTTCAAATCCACAATGGCCACCACTTCTTTGACATTCACCGCAACTATATCCTAATCCAATCCACTTCAAAGTAAACCCATTTTTTAACAACTTCTTGTAGTCAACGTGTACTATTGTTTGATTGATGTTCTCTTGTTCTAATTGAACAGGTGCAGCAACTATAGATTCACAAGCTTTTAGGTTCCAATTCAAAGGCTCATCTCTAGGTACTAATGCAATAAATGTTTCATTCTTGGACTTGCCATTGCAGGGAATCCCAGATTCTTTATAGTTAGCAGAAATTGAGGTATTGCAGTTATAGAAAAAGAAGATATCAGCATGGTAAGGACTAAAATCGACCGAAGATCGATCAAATGTATAGTTTTTACTAGGAGTGGGGCAAGTAGAGTCGAGTATTTCTGTATCAATTAACCGAAATGACTGGTTTTCATAGTTAATGTTTTGGATGATGTAATGAGCACGAGAGGTCTTATAAATTGGCTTGCGATTCTCACATAGAACATTGAATCCAGGATGACCACAATAGTCTGTGTGGTTTTTTCTGATATAGAATGGATAGCTTATATTTGGACCAGTACCACAGTTTTTAGGCTTGCAGGCTTCATATTTTGACTCTGCTGATAGAACTAAGTCTACTGAAAGGATGATAATGAAAAAATTGAACAAGATATGCAGAGACATAGGTAAAGGTGTACAGGAGGAAGACAAAAAGAACTGGAGAAGAAGACGTGCCTAAAGAAAAGCTTTTGAATTGTTTCATCAGATCATTCAAGCAAGTCTCACAGAAATGATACCAACAAAGGCCTTTCAGTCAACTTCAAGAGTTATTATAGCATTTGATTCTTCTTGATGTGGGAAAACTTGATTTGGAATTGAAAATTTTCAACTTTGGGTTTTGAATACTTGTTTTGTATCTTGTCCTTTTGGATCAAACAAACTAAAAGGACAAAATTCAACTTAAAATATTTTGCTTTGTTAATTTTTTTTTCATTAATTATATAGGATTCTTTTATTGTTTGTGCTAGTTATAGAAGAAACTTCAACCCAAGTTATAGGAAATTGCGCCATCACCAATCAATTGGTTCCACTAACACATGCCATACAAAAGCTTTAATATTATAGTTGTAATAGAAAATTTGGTTTTGCTAAGAAATTAGGATTCTTTATGATTTTCATAGAATTGAAATATTTACACAGAAGCTTATCTGGAAACAGTTTTTGAGCTGACTTTTAGCGTTTTATCTCTATTAACTGTAGCTGTGAGAGACCCTTCATAGTTTTCTTCCTCTTTTCTCTAGGAATGACTTTTTTTTTTTTTTTTCTCTTTCATTCTTCTATTTTCTACTTTGGATATTTTATAACTTTAATAAACTTTCTTAAAGTTTAATTTTCTAATCACTTTGTTGTTTTTCTTCTCAACAGTCTTTGTTATAATTATTACATGTAAATGAAAAAAGTATCCAAATGCGAATATATTATAGAATTTTCATAAATCTAAGCTATAAAATTCAGAACTTATATGATTAAGCATTTCCAGTAATTAATTTCAAAACAAAGAGAAATAACAAGAAATCAAATATCTTGATTTTATCTTTGTTGTTACAGGGGAATTGCCTTGTTTCTGCTCAGTCTTTTCCTCTCATCCCAAATTAAAAAAAAAAAAAAAAAAAAAAAAAAAAAATTATCTTTTGTTGTTACAGGGGAATTGCCTTGTGTTGCTCAGTCTTTTCCTCTTCATCCCAAATTAAAAAAAAAAAAAAAAAAAAAAAAAAAAAAAAAAAAAAAAAAAATAGTATTTCATTATAAGACTTTCACTTGGCCCAATTGTAATATTTCAGATTTGAACCTAATATGTTACTCCTCCTACCAAAAAATAAGTCATTTTTTATGATTATTTTATTCAAAATATAAGTGGTAAAATTATCATTGGTTTTATTTAAATTATAAAAATTAATTGCTTCTTTAATTTCTATACAAAAACCTTCAATAACTTATATTTTGAGGCAGAGAGTATTAGAAATACATTTTCTTGTTAACTTATAGATAGAACATGGAGAGTAATAACTTGTTTAATTATTAGTTTAAAAAAAAAAAAAACCAATTTGTCTAATCCATTTTAAAATTAAAAAAACTGAGCTCACCTTGCGTTTTTTTTTTTTTTTTTTTTTTTTTTTTTTTTTGAGAAGAACATCTTGCATTTTTTTAACATTGTTCAACCCCAAAAAAATATTATTTATCTATTTTCAAAGTAGAAAACATGTATTAAAAATTACTAGTAATAAATAATTACAGAAGGCTTCAGATTCAAGTCAACAAAAGAGAAGATGGTTAACCAGAAATCTGCTATGACATAACACAGCTTCAATTCCTAGATATTTTCTTTTCCAGCTTTCCGAGAAAGATAGAACTTACAAGTGGAAACTAAAAAATTGACAGAACTTATTAATTAAAATAAAAAATCTTCCTATTTAATTAAAGCGGCATGAGATTTGGATACGTACGTGTAGCTGAAAAATAATATTTTAAAGAATAAGGATCAGTATTAAGCCATGATTAATAGTATTTTATTATATAATTATAATAATTAAGGCTTTCGTCCACTTTATTCCCTTGAAATTTCAAGGAACAGATTTGACTGCCGACTTCAAAAGCTTAGACCACAGACAAAGCTACCTAATTCAAACTTTTTTTTATTTTTTTATTAATTTTCAATTATTAGAAACGCAATTTTCTTAAAATCAAAAACAATTTAAAAGTATGTTAGAAAAATATGTAGTAAAAGTTATAATTTAACTATATATATATTTTTTAATTTGTATGAAAATTAACATTAAAAATAATTTTATGGCAGGATGTTCTTTGTATTGTATTATTCTGGTTCTTCATAGCCACACATTTCGAGTAACTTACTGTGTTCACAAAAGGCTCTACTGAACCTAGCAAGGGGAGACTCACCTAGACACAAAAAATATCTTTTGACCCTAATCGGTGGAGACAAAGCCTTTTTCGGCAAAATAAACAAGTGGCGGCCTCGCCGACATCAAAGAACTCAATTAAGTCACGTCCTCATCCAACACTCAAGTGGCTTATTAATGGAATGAGACAGCAAGATCCATGGGGAGGAGAGGAAGGGACGCCACATGCCAATAATGACATTATTCAAAGTGAGTACTATTTACTTAGTTTACATTATTCCAACTAATTTTGTCTCCAAGACCACACACCTATACTTAGAGATTTCGACCGTCTTCCTCAACAACATTTTAGTTGGCTTTTATGTATGTTTAGAAAGGGAGAGGAAGTAAAATTTTACTATCCATTTTATATCCTCCTTAATATTTTCACGCAAATCAAATAAAGAATTTTGAAAATTCTAAAGTATTTTCACATTTATTTGACGTTGGGTTTATATTTTATCTTTATTTAAACAATTTAGTAGTATTTCGAGTAAATATTATTTTAAATAACATAGTTTTTGAATTAAATTTAAAGGTTAATATAAATTTTTATAAAAAAATTAACCCAGTAACATTTAATTTTTTAATATTTCATAAAAAGCTATTATTAGCTGTTAAAATAGATAAAAACTACTAAAACAATTAATTTTGCAATCAATTCTTCCCTAAGAGGTCTCTCATGCTCTAATCCTGAACCAGATTGAAAATGTTTATCAACAAGGGAACATTTATTTTCATTTCTTTTATGTAGTTCATTTATATTTTTATATGGATGACCTTAATGTTTCCTATTTTTTAAAAAATATTATGACCATACAAAACATGAAATACGTGCATAAAATTAAGATATTGGTGCTTTATAGTAAAATAAAAAAAAGAAGAAAATAGAAAACTCACCGGAGATAGGAAGAGGTTTACAGTCCCAAGCATGAGGCCTGTCAGGGCAGAAACACTTAAAATGGTAAGTCTTACTATCAAACCCACATTTGCCACCGCTATCTGCACAAATGCTACAATTACTTGCTGTCCAGTCCAGCGAAAACCCTTTCTTTATCATCCTTTCAAACCCATTACTACTCTCTCCTTTCTGCAATTCAACAGGCACAATCACTTTTTCTTCACACAATTCTTCTGCTTTTCTCAGCAAAGGATCACCCTTAAACATTGACAGAGTCGGTCCAGTTTCACTCTCACCAAAGCAATCAACTTCATATTTTATAAGTTCACTGTTATTACCATCTCTAACCAGTGTTGAGTTGCAACGGTATAGCAAGAAGAGGTCTGTTTGGTTTTGGGATAACCTAAACTTATCATCGGGTAATATCACGTTCTTGAATGAAGGAACACAAGTATTGCTTGTATTGAAAACGGCAGCGCTTGAGACACGAAGAGTCTGGTTTCTGTAGTTGATTTGTTGGATAATATAGTTAGTATCTTGTAATCTAAGAATTGGATGCCCATTTTGGCAAGAAAGATTGAATCCAGGATACCCACAAAAAGATTCTTGCTGGCCTTCAATAAAGAAAGGAAAGGTTATGTTTTGACCATCGCCGCAGGTTTTAGGGTTGCAGGCCAAGAAATAAGGATCTATACATAAAGCCTTTCTTGCAAGAAGAAAGAAAATAATAATAAAGAGATTTATCAATGGAGAAAAGGGTATTTGCAAAATATTTTGGTTCATTTGAGAATTTTGATAATGTAGAGAAAGAGAGAGAAAGATGATTCTTTTTGTTTTTTTGGTTTTTTAGAGACTGAAAAGAGGATGGGATTACAGAAGAGGAGAGTTGAGAAGATGAGTTTGACCTGATATTTTTTATTTTTTATTTTCTTCTGGGCAAAGTAGATAACTGGAGACTTTTGAATCTCACAAGTTGTTCGTAACATGGGAGAGGCTGTCTATATAATTTTGGTATCGCCTTAAATTGTAGACCGTTGAATATAAAGATAATGACCTAAATGGGGCCTTTGTGTAGGTTGACCAATAAATATTGCAATCGAGGGGCTTTAATTTCCTTCAATGAAGAGGTTTCATAATGTAAATGCCAGATGATTTTATTTTGGTATAAATAAGGAATATATAATGAAATTCTAGCTTTAAATATTTAATAATGGTCAGAAAGCAAGAGAAAAGATTATGAAAAAAGGAGAACTTTCTTTTTCTATTAAGTTGTTTAATTTATAATTTTAGATCTTAAAAGTGTGAGTGTTCTTTACAAAGGTGAAATTAGTTTGCATATGTTTAATCTCAAACACTTTGCTAGGCTCACATAGGTGGAATTGCAAATAACATATAATAGAGAAGAAATAATAACAATAATTTTTTAATTAAAATAATTATTTCTAACTTTAAATAAATTGAAAATGTAAAATAATTATTTCATGAAATTAAAAAAAAAAACATTAACTTCAAGTTTTAATTGACTTTTCAAAATATATAATAGTTTATTAATAAATGTAATAGCCATTTTTAAATTTTATAAAATACAAATATATCTGTTTTAGCTGGTGAAGAATAAACATTTTGGGGGAGTGAAATAGTTATTTCCATTTTCCAAAAATAAACAAGTCCTTAAATTTTTTAGGCCTACACCATGGAAGAGATTTTTATTTTTTTTTTTTAAATTTATTAGCTCAAATATAAATAATCTATTTTCATGCGACTAAAGAGATAAACTTAGTACAACATGAAAAGTTGACCAATTTTATGAAATTTTGCAATCAATGATGAAAATTAAATTTCTAATTAAAGGATTCACAATATAATTTTCTATTGTCGAAAATGAGTCCTCTAATTATTATTTTTGTTAAAATTAAATCTATTTAATTAAGGTCATGAAATAAATAGCTGTTACTCGATGAAATCAGACCTTCTTCAATTGAAAATGAACATGATTCCAAATGTACAGCGAACATGATTTCAATAAATGGGCTGCGAGCTTTAGACTTGTTAAACAAAATAAAAGGTCCGTTTCTTAAAACATGACCAAAAAGGGAATGTCAAAGATAGTGATTTTAAAAGAAGAAACATTACATAATTCAAACCGACCCCATAGACTGACTGTATATAATCCATCTCAGACAATTTCTTCTCTTTGTTTCTTTTGTATCTTCAAATTATTTACAAAAATGTAAAACCGCGAAAGGGGGTTGGAAAGTCATTACAATTTCTATTAGCAAAGAAAATTCCATAAAAGAACAAAAAAAAAAAAAGTTTACATTGATGTTTGGAGTAAAACGCAATAGAATTTCCAAGTTTTAAGGACATTTTTACTTAAATTATTATAATTCATGAGTTGGCTTGCATTGATGATTCTTGAATTTCTTTCAAGAATCCGTCTCTTTTTGTGAAGTTGGAGGTTGAAAGTCTTCGTTTGCAAATTGAGGCAAAATGGGTTTTAATTTTAAAGTAGGTCCCAAAAAAAACTTTTTTCTTTGCCGTTTTTGGTTATTTATCTTAACTTTTTGACTCGGTAATTTTTTGAGGACAAGAGCTAAAACTTTAAATGTTGTACTATTCTTTTCATACGGTCATTAATCTGTACCAAAATATATTTTTAAAAATAATAAGTGAATTGATTGGTACTTTGATATCAAAGAGAGTTGCTACCTAACCGTAGAGGATGGTATCAATTCCTTTTCTTTGAAAAGTTTGAAAAGGAAGGTTGTGATCAACTATTATTAAAAAAGAATAATAAGTGATAGTTTTCGGATGTTATCCTTATTTACCTTAAATATAATAACTAATTTTAGTTTTTAGATAAAAGATAATTTGGTTAAATTATCTTTAGTTTTTTTATAATTGAAGAGAATTTATTTCTATACAAAAACTTTAAATGACTTGTATTTTAATACCGGGATAGTATATCACTTGTACATGAATTGAAAGCGCATGTGCTATCATCTTCAATGCTTAGTTCACAAATAAAATCTCTACCTTCAACTCTTTACTAGCTTTCAGGAACCGAAAGAGAATAGTTAGGCTATATACACCGTTAAATAGATGTTATCTCAGAGCAAGCAAGAAATAGTCTGGTTGCGTACAATCTTCAATACCTTATGCTTAAGACCAAAAAAGGAAAAGAAAAGAGAATTAAAATCCAAATGAAGTAAGTTAATAATGGAGATACTAAACCAAGTAACATTGATTTTCTAATTTCATATTAGTTTTCTAATTTCTACGATTAATAGTACCAATTTGCAAAGAGAATGCAACAAAGTACACCCTTTTGGAGCAATTTACACTAACAAGATCAATAATATTGTTGTACTTACAATTGATGAATTTGCTTCTGATCTTGGAGAACTTGAAGGAGAGGACAAGTATGGTTTTGGTGGAATTGACAATGACTCAATGTTTCCCTCCATCATGCTCACTGGAGGATGATTTGAGGGGTCAGATTGTACGCACCACAAGCTCACCAACACCATCTTTCTTGCTATTTGGTTGTCTTCTTCATTACTAAGTGCATGAATTTCAAGTTCTTGGCCTAGCTCAAGACGCTTGAATATCCAATGAGGAAGATATATATCACTGCTATATATTATCAGCTGCAACACACAGATTCCTTCTTCCTCCAACCATTTCAAACAGTAACATATGCCATAACTATAAACAGCAGACTTATGAGAAACACTTCCAAAATTTCTACAGAATACCTCAGGTGCAATATAACCTGTAGTTCCTCTGGCACCCAACATTGATACGATACTCTCTTGTATAAGGTATATTTTAGCTAAACCAAAATCTGAGATTTCAGGACAAAATTTCATCGAGAAGAATGTCATGAGGTTTTGTGTCGTAATGCAAAATCCTTGTGTTACAACCTCAATGCAAGTGACCAGCATTGGAAGGATTTTCTTGTTATATGTAATTATCAAGAGATCCATTAAACCTGAACTCGGAGACAAATGCTCTTTTAGAACCCTCGAACAAAATCCTGAAAGAGTAACAATGTTGACATGGGAAGTTCTACTGATGCTTGCAACTTCATTGATAAATCCTAAAAGATTTCTTCAGTGACATAGGTTTTATGAATTAGAGTACAGTACTACTATTGTTAATATAGTATGGATATCATAAAATACAGAGTGTTTGAATTCAGATCAGGTTACTGATTTAGTTTTGCTTACAGATTAGGATTCTTTCTGATTTTGATAGAATTGTTTATCTATAAGGGTATGCACACCTCATTGTTGCCTTCCTTTTCCCCTAAAAATGCCTTTTGTCTCTATCATTTTACTTTGGATATTTTAAACTTAAATCAATTTTTACATTGTTGCCTTCCTCTTCCCCTAATAGTCTTTGCTACAATTGTTACATGTAAAATGAAAAAGTAATCAAAATGAGAATCTGTCACAGAATCTTCATAACTTCACAGAATCCATGGCCTTGTTTCTCCTTAGTCTTTTCCTCTCTCCCCTTCCCCCCCCCCCCCCCCCGAGATATTTTAAACTATAATCAATATTTACATTGTTTGCCTTCCTCGTTCCCTAAGTCTTTGCTACATTGGTTACATGTATCATGATAAAAAAGTAATACCAAATAATGAGAATCTGTCACAGAAATTCTTCAATAAACCTTCACAGGAATCCATGGCCTTTCGGTTTTCTCCTTTATCTTTTCCTCGTCTCATCCTTCACCCCCCCCGCCCCCCACAAAAAAAAAAAAAAGAAAGTGATAATAATTAAGTTAGCCTGTCGTAGTAGTTGGTAGGTCAAGAATCAGCCATTGATGGTGACAAGGGATGCTTGAAAGGATGGAGAACATATGGTCTAGAAAAAAAAAAAAAAAAAAGAAGTGATAATAATAAGTCAGCCTGTCGTAGTAGTTGTAGTCAAAGAATCAGCCATTGATGGTACAAGGGATCTTGAAGGGGAAGACATATAAGGTCTAGGTGGGACTTCCAGAGACACAGGGCTTCCTTTCAGCAATTCCACTACTCTATCCATTGAGGGCCGGTTTGAAGGGTTAGTTTGTATGCACCACAAACTCACTAATACCAGTTTTCTTGCAATCTGGTTTTCCTCTTCATTGTTGATCCCGCAAAGTCCAAGTTCTTGGTCTAGTTCAAGACGTTTGTATATCCAATCCGGAAAATATACATCACTTGTATGATCAATTTCTGCACTAATTTTATTTCTTGCTCCAACCATTTCTAGCACCAGCATTCCATAGCTGTAAACATCAGATTTGTGAGAAACCCCACCAATGTTTCTGTAAAATACTTCAGGTGCAATATATCCAATTGTCCCTCTCGCACCCATCATTGACACGATGCTCTCCCTTTTAGTACATATCTTAGAAAGACCAAAATCTGATATTTTAGGACAGAAATTTTCATCCAGAAGAATGTTGTGAGGCTTTATGTCAAAATGTAATATCCTTGTGTTACAACCTCGGTGTAAGTACTCCAATCCTTGTGCAATGCCAACTGCAATTTCAAATAAAGTTCCCCATCCTATTTGTTGATTGGATTTCAAAGAATTTTCTTTATATATGTACTTTTCAAGAGATCCATTGGAGATGAACTCATAGATAAGAGCTTGTTTGGAACCCTCAAAGCAAAATCCTAATAGAGTAACAATGTTGACATGGGAAGTTCTACTGACACTTGCAACTTCATTAATAAATTCTTCTCCACTGCTCTTTGATTCTTTCAAGACTTTTACTGCTACAAGACATCCATCAGGTAACTCACCTTTATACACACTTCCATACCCTCCTTGGCCTATTTTAAATTTAAAAGACCCTGTGATTTTCTTAACTTCAGAATATTCATATCTTTTTAGTGCCAGCGGTCCATGGCTTCTTAGAAAGGCCTCAATACTTTGAAAATCTTGTGTTCTTATCCTCCAGCAGGACCTGAAATTACTGGATAAGCGTTTTCTCCTGATGCAGAAGACTGTAATAATTATCAGTACCCCAATTCCAGCAGTTGCTGTTAAGAAAGAAGAAGAGAAAATTATGCATTGCAAGAATTCCAACAACGGAAATACAAGAGAAAGTAGTGAAATAACAAAGAAATTATAGGTATATATTAATCTATGATACCTATTGGTATTGTAGCTTTAAGCGCCACTCTTCTAGTTCTAGAGTTCTCTGCAAAATAGTCAAATACTGAATCAGGAAAATATATGGAAGAAATAAATGCATCAAGTCATCTAAAGGCCTAATACAAGTTGCCAGCCATGAAAATTGAAACAGAACAACCATTGTTACGAAATATCAGTACAATGTGTTCTACGTACCTCTTAACACCTTAAATTCAATGCTTAGCAATAATGCATGAAGTTTTATGCTTTGTTTGGAAAGGAGAGAAAGGAAAATAAATGGGGAAAACAGTGAAATCTTATATTCACCAGTATTAAGAAATTTCTGGACAGACAACAAAATTTATAACTATTTCTAATTTCTATGAACAGGATGTTACTAATTAAATAAATATTTAATTCATATCCTTAATTTGTGTAATTGGGAGAAACGTTTTATTTTTTCCTCCCCTAATAACGAGTCTTCTCAAAAGAATTCCCAATATATGTATAAACAAACTATGCTAACGGAAAGCTTTCAAATTCATACAATATTTAAGTAAAAATTTACTAATTTGAGCTTATTATGAGTATTAATTTGAGAATTGAGATTATTATACAAGTTGACCTAAATTTTTATTAATTAAGTTGTGAAGTCTTAGTATCATTTTCACTTAAAAAAAAAAAAAAAAAAAAAATAAGTTGTGAAGGTCTTAGTATCATTTTCACTTAAAAAAAAAAAAAAAAAAAAAGAAAAAGGTTGAGCTCAACAAAAAAAAAAAAAAAAAAAAAGAAAAAAGGTTGAGCTCAACATAATAATATTAACGATATATGTATATATAGCCTTGAGGTTTTCTAATGGGGCACTTTATAGGGTCTTCACAGCTCGATTAGATCATATGAACGAGTGGGGCACTAATATGTCAACTTGTGCAGTTTTTTTATTAAATTGTTATTAATTGTAAATTAAATGTTGACACAAAATACAATGTTAACTATGTAGACATTGTATAAAAAATTTTCAAATTAATTGAATAATAATATGTTTTACTTGAATTGGAGATTAGCTACAGCATTTAGACCTTGTAAGAAAAAAATATTATGTTCATAAAAATCTTTTCATTAGGAGAAATAGAAGTGTTAGCCAATAATTAAAGAGTATATAATTATTCTTCCAGATGAAATATAATTTTCTAAATTCAGTGGATGAAGAATTTAAAGTAAAAATAAAAGAAATAAAATTATATTTTGAATGGTCTAACGAAGAAATGATGAATAAAATTGATATTGATATACAATTTATATGAAACAGATAACTTTGGAAGATAAATTTGGAAATGTTTATCAAGTGAATATCTTGAGAAATTTAAATATGGATAATGAGGGTGAGAAATAAAGGAAACTCACCAGAGATAATATCTGGGCAACTCCAAGCATGAGGCCTGTCTGGGCAGAAACACGTAAAATGGTAAGTCTTATTATCAAACCCACATTTGCCACCGCTATTTTCACAAATACTACAATTACTTGCTGTCCAGTCCAACGAAAACCCTTTCTCTATCATCCTTTCAAACCCATTACTACTCTCTCCTTTCTGCAAATCAACAGGCACAACCACTTCTCCTTCACACACTTCTTCTGCTTTTCTGAAGGAAGGATCGTCCTCTAATATTGATAGAGTCGACCCACTGTCACTCTTGCCAAAGCAATCAACCTCATATTTTCTAAGATCACTATTATTACCGTCTCTAATCAGTGTTGAGTTGCAATGGTATAGGAAGAAGAGGCCTGTTTGGTTAGGGGATAAACTAAACCTATCATCGGATAGTGTCATGTTCTTGAAACTGAAAGAAGAAGAAGGATCGCAAGTATTGCTTGTATTGAAAATGGCAGCGTTTGAAACACGAAGAGACTGGTTTCTGTAGTTGATTTCTTGGATAATATAGTTATTGTCTTGTAAATTAAGAATTGGATGCCCATTTTGGCAAGAAAGATTGAATCCAGGATACCCACAAAAAGATTCTTGCTGGTCTTCAATAAAGAAAGGAAAGGTTATGTTTTGGCCATCGCCACAAGTTTTAGGGTTGCAGGCCAAGAAATAAGGATCTATACATAAAACCTTTCTTGCAAGAAGAAAGGAAATAATAATAAACAGATTTATCAATGGAGAAAAGGGTTTTAACAGGAAGTTCAGTTTCATTTGGTTGTCCTGCTATTGAAGACGCGCACACAGAAAGAAAGAGGAGAAGAAGGAGAAGCAAATTATATTATTTTTGTTATTTATATTGTTATAGCTGGTGTTTATATCAGTGTTTAGAGAGGTTAAAAGAGTGGATAACAGAAATTTTATACCCTTTAACAATAAGCTAAATAACACCGAAACAATTAATAACTATTGCACTAATTAACAATTATTATAATAATTAATAGCTACTTACTAAAATAGCTAAAATGGCACATTTGAAAATTCAACAAAATTACTCATTTTCATATGTGATATTGACCTGACTTGCTGCCATTGTTGACCATTCAAAAATGTCCATTTGTACATATGCAAGTTACGTACTTGGAACCTTTCAGCTATTGGCATGCTAGTGGATGATGTTCTCCCACTATCTGCGACTTAATTGGATTTGGTGCTCAGAAATATTAATTACACAAGCTAGAAAATATGTTGAAGTGGTTCATCAATTTTTTTATTTTTTTTTCAAAATATTTCTTCAAATGATTAAGGGAAAATAATAAATCGATCCTTAAGTTATTGCCAAATTAACACTTGAGTACCTATTGCCTAAATATTCTAATATCTAGTCATATGCATGTTGAAATCCAAAAATGAGTTTAAAATGCAATATTAAGATCTAGTAATTTTATACATATAAATGGAACCGAATTAGTAAATATAGAAATAATATTTATCAATTTAACAATAATTGATTGTGGGTTAACAGTACGGTTCATTGACTCTAGTCTCTAACATATGAAGTCAACACCATGTATATGATTAGTTTAGGTTGCATACTTGACCCAAATTCAAACTTTTTGGGCATGGCCCATGGGCTTTTCAGCGGTCGAGGCTATAAGTTTTGATGAGTCCAGATTTATAATGTCTTGCCACTAGAGATTTGAAAATCCCATTCAAGTAAGGGATTTGATAGTATGTCTCTCCTTTCCTTTTCTCAATAATTGTGATTGTGAGTTATGAGTTATGAGACAACACAAATTGCAAGTTGAGTCTTAACGACTCATAATAAATAGATTTTAAGTTGAATCACCGAACTCAAACCGATTCGAACTCAAAATTTTCAAATTCATTAAACTTCAAGCTAAAAATAAGTAAGTTTAGGTTAAATTGAAATCAAGCTTGAAATTTTCAAATTTATTAAGCTTTGAGGAGCTCGAGCAGAGCAAAAGTTTAGTACCCACTTTGAAGGTATTTGCCTTGTAAATGACAATTCCAACATCTTTCCCAAAAAAAAAAAAAAAAAAAAAAAAAAAAAAAAAAAAAAAAACCAACATCTTTCCAAAAAAAAAAAAAAAAAAAAAAAAAAAAAAAAAAAAAAAAAAACGAATTCCAATATCAAGTTCCAATCTAGCGCTTTGGAGTTTCCGGTTATCCACTTTGAAGGCCCAGTTACACGTTTTATAACCCAATGCAATAAGTGATTACTTCATATTGGGTACCCTTATCGCATTCTTAAATATACAAACCTCTTTGTCTAAAATGTACAACCCCTCAGTATGTAATTATCCACGCCGATTTTGGATTTTGAGGCATAGGTGTCGATTGCCTCACGTTACTATTTAAGGACTACGTTACGCTAATATGTTAAGTCCATAAAAATTGAGAGGACCAATCCTTGAACTTTATGGTGGCGTGAAGGAGGTGTGTATGACGCAAATTAATTCGGTTTCCAGACCGAAAATTAAACTGGATATTAATGAACCCATTTCTTGCGTTTCGATTTAATTAATTGAGTCTCTAACTATTATAATAATTCGGGTGGGCCTTTCCAAATATTACGATATAGGTTCGAAAACAGTGGGTGCGGGCGTATACGACGTGGATTGCAGAGTATTGGATCTTGTACTCTAGGGAAGTGGAACAATCCGTCCCTAAAAAAAAAAAAAAAAAAAAAAAAAAAAAAAAAAAAAAAACGATTCCAATATCAAGTCCAATCTAGGCTGGAGTTTGGTACCCACTTTGAAGGCCCAGTACACGTTATAACCCAAGGCAATATGTCTTACTCATATGGGCCCATATCCAATAAATACAACCTGTCTAAAATGTACAACCCCAGATAATATCCACGCGATTGGATAGAAAGTGTCATGCACTACTTTATTAAGGACACTTAGCTTTTTAAATTTTAATCCATAAAAATGGGTGGCAGTAGGGGTTGAGCAATAATCGGTTCCAGCCGAAAAAATGGAATTGACCCATTTTGTTCTGGTTCGATTTTTTATATATAGCTAACATAAATTTAATTTTTCGGCTAAATTATACAAAATGGTTCGAAACAGGCGAACCGATTCGATTGGATCTTGACTAGGGAAGTGAGAAATTCCTCCATGCTGCAACAAGAGCTTGGTTTAATCTGTTAAAGATTGTAGAGAAATAAATTTGAGTGCAAATTAATTGATAAATTGAATTTCAATTTTCACTATGGATGTTTTCCAAGTGCAAACTCTCAAATCTTCATTTTTAATCAAATTACTATATCAGCATAATTTATTTTAATCGCTTAGTTTATTTCCTTTTGATTTTCAGCCTATTAGTAAACAAAAATATTTAATATCAACTTCGAATGGTAAAATAGAATAGTAGGAATTTTTTCTAAACATTCAGGAGGGAGCGTTTTGCCCTCCTCTGTAAATTTGCCTATAAAACTCTTTTAAATATTCAGAAGAGATCATTTTGCCCTTTTTTATAAATTTACCTAGCTCAAATCCAAATTTATGGGATAAGTGGCTGTAAATAGATAAGGAATAACAAATCTTCCACCCATATGCATTATTGATTAGAGTAGGGAATTATTGTTGAATTGGCTTTTAGGGATGTGCCAAGCCAATTCAGTTGGTTTGTGGTAAGGTTGTTCCCTTTTCTCCACCCTTAAAAATAAAAAGAGAGGAAAAAAAAAAAAAGTAACATCCTTTTCAACAACCAACACACACTCACCCTCGCTCTCTGTCGCTGTGGGACACTTCACACGTTGCCTTTCCTGTCCACCACACATTTTGCCAAACCGGTTCACTTATTATAAAAATATATATCATATGCTCACCTTTGCATTATTATTGTGTATTTAATGAAATCCTTCTGGTCTGGCCGGTGCTTCCCACCATTTTCTATGCTTCACCTTGTATTCATATCACTTTGAGATCCCATTTTTACATAAATTCATTTTTTTAAATAAGCATTAAACAAAGCTAAAAAAAAAGAAAAAACTTATATTTCATAAAAAGACATGGTGTAGTGGTAAGTGCATTTATAATCTGATAGTAATAAATTCATTTGAATCTCTCATTCCCAGTACTCAAAAAAAACTTAAAAAAAAATTACGATGAGTAATTAGTGATATAAAACATTCTGTAAATATCATGCAATAATTAAAAGTTTGAGAATGATTTATCTAAACCTCATTTATGGGCTCATTCATAAAATAAATTAATGAAAAACATTCTTTTTTTAAAAAATAAAGACATTTCTGATCATTCACTGTGAAAAAATGTGAAGTGGTAATAATTGTTTTAAAAATCTCAATTGTAATTTATTTGGTCCATGAGTGGTGCTATAGACCAAGTTTCTGAAATTTTTATTCCAAAAATTTAATCTTGAAAAAGGTGTCTAAAATGAACTAAATTTTTCTAGACTAGACCTATAGTTTCACCGATGGACCAAACAAATAAAATAGAAATTTTTAAAAATTATTCATACTTTATCTTTTTAGTGTATAGTTGAAATATTTTTATTTCAATAAAAAAATTATTTTTCATTAGTTTTGTTTGACCATGAGTAAGTTTACGGACCAAGTCTAGACAAATTAATCCTTATTTAAAATATGAGACCCAATAGAATAGATAGTAGCAATTTAATTAGCTAATCAATCTGCACTAAATTAGCTTGGATGTCGATAATAATATTCAGATGTTGTGATAGTTTTTAATATTTATTATAATAAAATTTACAAGCAAGGAAAAAATTAGATTTCATACTCAACAAATTATATATATACAAAAATTGCAAAACTGTGTAAAACACGCAATCAACTTTTTATTGATTTATTTATTTTGTCCTCTATGATGACAAAAAACGTATTGGTGGTGTGATTTCTGATTAGACATGCAAGTGAGATAAAGTAATGTTCCACGTGTTTGAAAAGCCCATCAGTAATGTCCCTAATAAATCCAATTGAATTAACTACATCCATAAGCAAAGAATGAAAAGATTAAAAAGAATTATTTATTTATTACTGCCATATTATAAAATAAAATCTATATCTTAATTGATATTTAGCTGCCAATCAAAGTAATCTCAAACACACTCCAATTCCTTAATCACTTGATTTTCTTTTTTGTCATTCCTCATTAATTAAATCCAACATCAGACTTAAGACTTTAAATTAAAAAAAAAAAACCTTTTTTTTTCATTAATTATAAGAATTCAACAACCAACAACTATGACTGGATTCCACCCCCAATGACCAAAAAACAATCCTAGGAATTAATCATAAATTTGGTATCTGCACGTGAGTGTTATCACATGGAAGGAGTTTTATGTCCTTTGGCAGTACTTATAGTTTTTTATTTCCACGAACTCAAATTGGATTAAATTAAATAAGCTAATGAGATCGTGTGTGAAAGAATTATTAATTTAAGAATGAGCATAAAAATATATGTACCAATTAAAAGAAATTATTAATTTAATAATTTTAAATTTTAAATTGCTACTTTTTTTTATATACTAGTCTTTTATACGACGTTCGTTACACATTGACTATACTCGTTTTATATTTATTTTTTATCTATATGATATTAAGGCATAAGTTTTATTTAAATTAAAATAAATATATGTGGTTAATTTATATTACATTTTATTGTACAAACTACTTGTATGTTATTTTTTATGTACTTAATTTTATTTTTATATAATGAAGTGGTCTCAGAATTTTTTATCTTCAATTTCCTAAACCTAACCCTTCTTTCACACCATAGAATAACTTATCCTTTAAATCCTAAACTTTTCTATTTACAATATTTAAAATACAATTATATTGGAAT